TATATATATATATATATATATACACACACACACACACACACACAGTACTTTTACAAGAAATTGTAATAAGAAAATGGGTATATCTTATCAGATATTCTTCATTAAAATGAAAATATCCAATGTTTAGTAAATAAATCAGTTTCCACAAAGTTACTCCTACTAGCCCTTTGATAGTATGTTAATTTAGGTAATAGTGCGATAAGCCAAATCTTGTTAAACCACTCATTGGTAGTTGGTGATTCTGGCTTTTTCCAGTTTATTGCAATAACTATCCTTACTGCTGTAAATAAACTTAGTACTAATTCCAAATCTTAACCTTCTACAAAACCTCTCAAAAAACCCTGAAGAATTAATTTTGGTTCAAAAGTTATTTTCCTACCTAGCATTTCATTAACATAATTTACCACAGTCTTCCAAAAAGTTTGAATCTAAAGGCAAGACTAGAAAATATTGAACATATCTGCAGAGAAACTAGTAAATCTAGTCTTAAAGAAAATATGTCAAACTACTTCTCCAATGGTACCTAAATCCCCATAAATTAACCCTTATATATATATACAACAGAGGATTCAAATTATGTTTAATATTATCATGCCAGAAAGGGTGATAATTTTGTGTGTGACTGACACAGGACATTATACCTACATTCAAATCATTCTCAAGAATCAACAAGTGCCTCTGAATAAGAACTCAGACTTTAGTTAAATAAATTGCTTTTATGCAGAAAGTTGCATTGCTTCTTTGGGAAAACATAAAACTTACTGCAGTCCTTGGGAGTAGTAGCGGGTTCTGTAAAACAAAAGAAGACATACTATAAGAAGACAATTGGCTGCTAACATCTTGAAGGTAAAATAAATATTTGCTGTCATATTTTGACATTGTATACTTTTTGGTCCTATAGTGATTGCACTCTTCTTCTTTGCTTTTAAATGTAGTCAGTTACACATTATGTTAATATGGATATTTCAACATGAGATATGAAACAGTTACTGTGCATGTTCCACACACTCTGCTGGGCTATGAAACCTGCTCCCTGGGTCCAGTCTTAGCAACCCAGACTTAGCACATATCTCAGATGGGAGATACACTATGCTCCAGCTGGAGGTGATTGCGACGAGTCTCAGCAGCTGTAAGAAGTCCCAAAAGGAGGTACCACCGGCATATTGCTCCAGATTGGGAGCTGTTGCAACCTCTCCAAGAATCTCCACCAGAGGTTGCACAAGGGTCTGATTTGGATTAGGACTGCAGCACAGAGGAGGAGGGGGCTGACACCTCCCAGCACACTGTTTTCAAAACCTGAGATAGCCTTAGGCAGCCTCTGTCCACTCCGATGTGGAAGGCACCATTCGCCTGCTGCCTGCAGTCCCTTTTCAGAACTGGTATCAGAAGACCAGGCATGTATTATTGGTTTAAGGGCTGGGTAAGACAGCTAGAAGCTAGGAGCATCGGCTAGATTTCTGCCTCTGGTGGCAAAAATACTGACCTTGTCAAAAGCGACGTATTGTCAATACACAGATTAAATGAAGAGTAAAATCATATTATTAATATGTTAGACAAACACCTAAAGTTAAGTATTACACTTGTCCAAAATCAAATCAAATCCGATTATTGCAAAATATCTAAACATCATCTGAAACTGATATTTTCCCTTATTTACCCCTCTGCAAATGACCTAAGTTAGCAAATTTACCCCTAATAGTTCCCATCTGTGGTCACAAGTTCTAACTGTAAAAGTTAATTTTGTCATGTATGAACTTTCTAAATTCTATTCAACCATCCCTCCAGGGACAGATATTCATTGAGAGTATAACACAAATGAAACCCCTTGAAAAGTTCTAACTTCTATTCTCAGTTTCAGGGGTGCCTTGAGAAATTGGAGTGGTATATAAAATGTTTATTTTCTCCCAATACAAGGATAGATCTACAGGTCATAATCAGGGCTGAGTCCTGACCCAGATTCTAGGTAGGATTGCCAACTTCCAGATGGGACTGGAGTTCTCCCAGAATGACAGCTGATTCCCAGACTGCAGAGATCAGTTCCCAGAGAGATGGCAGCCTTGTAGAGCAGATTCTGACCTCACATCCCTGCTGAGCTCCCTCCCCAAACTCTGTCTTCCCAAACGCCACCCCCGAACTTTCAAGAATTTCCCGTGACAGGATTGGCAACCCTACATTGCCTGGTGCCATTTCCGATCATTGGGGCAACTCAAAATGCTACCCAATGCATTTACAGATGTCACTGTTACTGGTTGGGGCAGTCTCTAGGGTTGCCAGGCTGCAGCCAGCAACCCCTGGGAGCATTTAGGGGGCAGGGACTGCTGGCAGCACTTCTGGTTTTCACTGGAAGTGATGTCATGGGATGTGTTTGGATTTGCAAAATTCCAGATTTTGCAAATCCTAATGTGTCCCATGACATCACTTTGGGTTCCCACGGGCAGTAGCATGCCAGCACAGTGCTACCATGTGCTCCCTCCCGCCAACACTTCAGGCACAGGCAAGCAACCAACCAGCTTGCCAAGAAGTCTCCTGCTATAGCTATAAGCAGGAGACCTTGCAACCCTGGTTCTAGAGATCATCTGATATTGAGCCAGTCCTTACACAAATCACATTCCTTTGGATTGGGCTTGCAGGAAAATGTTTCCTGTCTAAAACAAATCTGGATTGCATTCAAAGCTGTGCGTGCCTGCTGTGTTAAGATTGCTCTTTAAATGAGTGCAGGTTTGTCACCTATTGTGGTTGTGGTGATGTCTGAGGGAGTCTGAGAGGTGCTTGCTGAAATGCCAGTGGATGGTTTGGTGGGTTGCATGGAGGAAGCATTTTTCAGATCATCTGCCAGGGAATAAACAGAAGAAGTTAGCATTAAGTCTGCTAACAGCTAGTATTATATCCCTACACACTACAACAACCTTCAGACAATAGTGATAATGTATGACTTAAAAAAAATAATGGTAGAACTGAACTAACACACCAAATACGTGCAGAAGCATCTAAAAACAGTTCATTAAATTTAAAATGGCAAACTATTGAAAATATGTGAAGCCAAACAAACCTTACTGTTGCTTTAAAAATCAACATAGCAATAAATATTAATCCGAGCTTTCCATTAAGTAGAAATGCTCCTAGCTGGTATGAATGAGAATAAAGTCCCGGTTCA